CAAGCATATGTGTTAAAATATCAATACAGAGTCTTTTTTCTTTAGACTCAGTATGGCACATCTTCTTAATCTAAAGATCAATATAGAGCCTTCTTTGGACTCAGTATGGCACATCTTCTCAATCTAAGAATACAGAGTCTTCTTTCTTTGGACTCAGTATGGTACATCTTCTCAATCTAAGTTCTGTACTATCCACCTTATCCTACTTATCCTCTATAGGGGGGTCTGCAATACCCTGGTGGAGTCCTATCCGTCCCGAATGTGGGGGTTCTCAATGGGGGGGGGGGGGGCTTACCGAGGGGAATCCTGTTCCAAGGCTTCCCAAAGGTGTGGACGGAGTTGGCGAAGACTATCCACCCTCTCCTACGGTGGAGTCCTATCCATCCCGAGAGTGGGGCGCTTACCTAGGGGTCCCTGTTCAGGCGCCAGATGCCGGGGTCTGACCCCAGCAGGTCCAGGGGTCCCCAAAGGCGTGGATGGAGTCGGCGAAGAAGGAATGACATGGGGACAGCGTTCAGTTGATCAGCAGCCTAGCCAGGATCTCTAGCCAGGTTCTGGTCAGGATCTCCATAGAGGTTCTGGTTAGGACCTCTTGCCAGGTTCTGTGTCCATGTTCTCTTTCTAGGTTCTCCAGCTAGGTTCTGTAGCCATGTTCCCTCGCTAGGTTCTCCAGCCAGGTTCTGTCCAGGTTCTCCAGCCAGGTTCAGTCGCCAGGTTCTAGTCAGGTTCTCTTGCCAATTTCTGTAGTCAGGTTCAGTCCAGGATCTTTTGCCATGTTCTCTCCAGCGAAGTTCTTCTGTCTATAGGTTCTGTGTTCTAAGCTCTGTATTCTAAGTTCTGTGTTCTAAGTTCTGTGTTCTAAGTTCTGTGTTCTAAGTTCTGTATCTTTCTGTCTCGTTACATCTGTATTTATACCAGTTGATTCAATCCTATCAATCTCTATTACAAAGGTTAGGGCGTTTCTTATCTCCATTCCAGGGAGTAAAGATTATGTAGCTTAAGCATGATTGTTCGTAGTTAAAGTGATTAATTACCCGCCTGGCACTTAGTTAAGAGGTTTTATTCCCTCCCTAACTTCAGGGGAAAATCCCTACCTAGGGAAACAACCTTTCTCAGAGAGGAGACCTTGGTTAAAACACATAGTGCCAAGAAGGTGAGCAAACATATTAAGAACAGTATGCCATATATGCCGGGTCCCTTGAAACAGCAAGGATGGACCGGCTCCCAGCACAGTGACAGCCATAGAAGGTAAATAAATCCCAGAATAAAAAGAAAAAAAGGAGAAGTTGGGAGCTTCAGTCGCCCGCCAGCCTGAAAACAGCCCTCAGCCCCTCACCCAGACTGGCCAGGCACCCCAGTGGGGTCCCCCGCCCTGAAGGGGGTGTGACCAGCTGCAAACAGCCATCATCCCCTCATCCAGGCTGGCCAGGCACCCCAGTGGGGACCCCCACCCTGAAGGGGGTGCGGGCAGCCTAAAAACGGCCCTCAGCCCCTCACCCAGACTGGCCAGGCACCCCAGTGGGGACCCCCACCCTGAAGCAACAAGATGGCGGCTAATTTGCATACTGAAGGCAGGCAGCAGCAGGCAAGGCTGTCCGCGGTCCGGGACCAGATCTGTGACCCTGCTGGGCGGGGGGCAGCGCTTGAGGCTGTCCGCGGTCCGGGACCCGGATCTGCGACCTGGCGGGCGGGGGGCAGTGTTTGAGGCTGTCCGCTGTCCCAGGACCCGGATCTGTGACCCTGCCGGGCGGGGGGGCAGCGCTTGAGGCTGTCCGCGGTCTGGGACCCGGATCCTTGACCTGCTGGGCGGGGGGCAGTGCTTGAGGCTGTCTGCGGGACCAAGACACGGATATGTGACCCCGTCGGGTGGGGGGCAGTGCTTGAGGCTGTCCGCGGTCCCGGGACCTGGATCCATGACCCTTCCTGGCGGGGCGGCAGCTCACACAGGGGCGGATCGGCCGGGGTTGGGCAGGGCAGGACACCTGGCTTCCACCCAGCCCCAGTCACTCTGAGCCGGTGAGCAGCACAGAGAGCCTCTGGACAGGGGAGGCAGGCCGGCAGAGGGCGGCCTGTACTCCCCACATGGCGGTGGTGACAGCTGTGAGCGCCCCAAGCAGAGCCTGCAGGCTGAGCTGAAGTAGCGCCTGCAGGCCATCAGTGCCCAGGAGTAGCTGCGCAAGATCCGCCTCCTGGCCCAGAAAGTGCAGGGACAGCCACCGTGGCGGGCCAGATTGACGTCCTCCTGGCCGCACCACGGGGGTTTGTGGATCTGCAAAGCCAGAGGCCTCCGGTGTGCACATTCCCCCCTGGTGTGCAAACATCCCCCAGCACACTGTCACCCTCCTGCGCCTGCAACAGTTGCAAACCAAGGCGTGCACAGTTCCCCCCGCCTCTCCACTGCACTTCCATCAACCCAGCATGCCTAACACCCCCACAGGATGTGCACACATCCCCTCTGATGCACTCACGTCCTTTGGAGAGTGTCTGGGTGTTCTGGGTGCTGAGGGTGGGCACCTGTGAGATTACAGTGAGAGGGCGGAGTGGTGATGCCCTGTTCCCATGGAGGCCAGTCCAGCTACGAGATCACCTCTAGGGGGTTAATGCAGGTGCTGAGGCGGGAGCAGATGCAGACAGACACACCTGGTGGGCACGGGCGGCCCTCGCTGAGGTGCCTTTGGTCAGCGTTCAAGATCAAGAACCCAGAGGTGGAGAGGAATTCCGTCCTCTCAGTGAAACAGTGGGATAGTCGGGGCGACTGTAGAGGAGGAATGTGCACTTTGGGTGCCAGCACCCATGAGCGAAGGCTGCCCTGACTGAGCCTCGCTTGCTTGGGGCCTAGCACACTCCTGCCAGGCAGCGGGTGACAGGACGTGCTTTTCCAAATTAATGTCCCCCCAAAATGTATACACACTTTGAATACCTACTAATTCCAATGGTTTTAAGCATAAGAAAGAAACAACAATGGAGCTGTTATCTGTTAAAAGTGGGCACAAACAGGTAGTTGGACATTCCCTGAGAGGTCTCAGATTGGAGAGGGTGAAGGCCAGACTGAGGGGCCCTTTACCTCCCACCCCCCCCCACCCCAGTGCACGAATTTCACGCACTGGGCTACTAGTGTATTCAATAATTAGTGTTGGGATAATTTGTTCAAAAAAGTAAAACTAGACTACCTTCTTATACCATACACAAGAATAAACTCAAAATGGATTTAAGACTTAAATGTTAGACTCGAAATCATAAAACTCCTAGAAGGAAACAGGCAGTAAAATCTCGGACATTTCTTGTAGCAATTTCGAGCAAGGGAAACAAAGGAAAAAATTAAGGGGACAACATCAAACTAAAAATTTTTTGTACAGCAAAGTAAACCAACAAAATGAAAAGCCAACCCACTGGATGGGAGAACATATTTGCCAATTTACATGTGATAAAGGATTAATATCCAAAATATAAAACTCAATACCAAAAAAACCCCCAAGCCATCCAATTAAATAAATGTGCAAAGGACCTGAATAGACACTTTTCTGGAGAGGACATACAAATGGCCAAACAGCCATATGAAAAGATGCTCAATGGCACTAATCTGTAATATAAATTAAAACTACAATGAAATATCACCTGATGCCTGTCAGAATGACTATCATCAATAAATCAACAAGTGTTGGTGTGGATGTGGAGAAAATGGAACCCTGGTGCACTGTTGGTGGGAATGCATATTGGTACAATCATCGTGGAAAGCAGTATGGAGTTACCTCAAAAAAAAAAAAAAAAAAAAAAAAGGAACTGCCTTATGACCTACTGATTCCACTTCTGGGAATTTATCCAAAGAAACCAGAAACACTAATTCGAAAGAATATATGCACTCCTGTGTTCATTCAGCATTATTTACATAGCCAAGATTTGGAAGCAACTGGTTTCCATCAGTAGATAAGTGGATAAAAAAGGTGTGATACATTTACACAATAGAATACTACTTGGCTGTTAAAAAACAAACAAACAAATAAATAAATAAATAAGGAAACCTTATCCTTAGTGGCAGCATGAATGGACCTGGAGAGCATTATACTAAGTGAAATAGGCCAGTGAGAGACAAGTACTGTATGATTTCACTTTTATGTGGAATCTAATGAACATAATGAGCTAACAAGCAAAATGGTGACAGACTCATAAAGAGCAGTCTAACAGCTTTTGGGATGGGGGCTGCAGGGAAAGTAGAAGGATTGAGCAAAAAAAGAGGGAAAAAAGGAAAAACTCATGGACACAGACATTTGTGGTGATTGCCCAGCAGAGGAGGGATGGAGGGATGTGGAGGAGCATACAGGGGATACATTGTGATGGATAGATACCTGGCTTGGGGAGGTGAACACAATACAATGTACAGTTGATGTGTTGTAGAAGTGTGCACCTGAAACCTGTATAATTTTGTTAACCAGTGTCACTGCAATACATGCAATTAAAAAAAAAAAAAAGGAATGCCTCTTGGGGGACTGAAATGTCACCATTAGTTCAGACCTCCATGCTGCCTTAGAAGACAAGATTGGCAGATACAAGTGGAATGTGCAAGCCAGAAAAAAAGAACCAGGATGCTCTGATTCATAGTGATCCATCTGTGGTGATGCTCTGGCAGGCCTGCACTCTCCGTTGGGAATCCCCACATTTGGGGATCTGGCCTGTCCCCTGAGGGCAGAGGGACAGCTCCCTCTTGCTGGGCTGGCTGGCTGCACTTTGGGAGCAGCATCATACTTAATCTCTTGTGGCTGTGTAATGTGAGTCAGCTCCCACACACTCTTCTCCAGGAAAGAGGCCACTAGGCCTGCTTTAGGTGGCAGCACTAAAGGACTGAGGCCCAGAGCTCAGGTGAGTGGATTTCCTGCTACCAGCTCTTGTTTGCTAGTTCCAGGAGCATAGCTCCTTGCCCCAGCTCCCTCTTAGATTTTTCAGAAGTATGATTTTAAAGGAAGTGGTCAAGTCCCATAGTATTTTCTGGAGTGTCAGGCCCTCACCTCCCAGTCCTCTATGGAGCTCTGCCCCTGAGTAATCTTGTTGATGTTTTCAAGTCTCCATTTCCATTTGTTGATTAGCTGGGCCACATCCTTCACGGCATGTAAAGCAGCTTCCACATCCTTGAAATACCTGAGGAAGAACAGAAATGGAAGAGGGCTGAGAGGTGGAGAGCAGAGAAGCGCTGGGAGCCTCCTGGAACCGCATGTGGAGCTGCTTCCCTCTGGGGCTGTGCCACTGGCCTGTCAATTCCTTCACCTGTCAATGCACACCCCCATCTTCTCCATAAGTGCCACACAAGGCAGCATGTAATATCCTATTTCTGTCCTCTTCCCTCATCTCAACAATAGCTTGTGAGAGCAGGGATGGTTTTACTCTGTGTTGTCACCCCAGTATCTATAGTAGTGCCCAGCTCACCAGGAGTACTCAACAAACTGGCTGACCCAGGGTATGAGGAGCCCCCTGGCTGTCCTTTCTCCCTCAGCAGCCTCCTACCTGTGGGTATACTTGAGCAACTTGGCCAACTGCAGTGAGTACTTGCAGATCTTCTGCACTAGGGTCAGCAGGAAGCTATTGAGGGAGATGTCGGTTATCTTTTGCAGCAGCCAGCAGGCCTCACGGAAATACATGTACTGGCTGAGCTTGGTGAGCCAGGAGAACTCCATGCATGTGTTGGGATGGTTGTTGGAATACTCTGAGTAAATCTGGAAGTTTGCTTTCTGGGGAGCACAACTGGAAGTTAGGGTGGCTGTCTCTCCAGCAGGCACCTAACATGTGTGGGGAGAAAGGGAGTGGGAGCCTCTGCATTTCCTTCAGGAGCTGCACTCAGGGGGCCCAAGCTCTACAATAGTATTGGCCCAAGCTATGGTGCATCATGCCCAGGGACACAACCTCTGAAAATACAGCATGTACTATCCCTGTCACCATCAGGCTTTCTCAGCAGGACCCTCAGCATATAACTTTGACATACAGTAAATATATATATATTTTTTGGATGAAATCAAGGATGCTAATAAGGAAGGCCAAAAAGGAGAGAGAGAGGGTGAGAGAGGAAGAAAGAGGAGGATGAAGGAAGGGAGGGAGGGAGAGAGGGAGGCAGGGAGGGAAGGAGGGAGGGAGGGAAGGAGGGTGGGAGGGAGGGAGGGAAAGATTAAATGGATGTAGTCCATGGCTGTGCCACCTGAGTTTTCATTCTCAGCCCAGTGCCCTGCTTCTTCCTCACAAAAGTTCTGGCCTCTTTCTTTCCTTTTTGTTTTTAAGCCTCATCTACCTGGAGCCAGAGAAAGGCCAGGTCTGCCATGTAGTGACCTATGACATCATGGACTTAGGTGAGCAAAGAGGATAACAGCTGCTGGCTGGTGATGGGTTGCTGTGATACTCACACTAGGTGATATTAATAAATTGCTTGTTCCCATCCCTCTAGTCACAACACTGCCTGCTGAATAACTGGACCCCGATCCCATACTCACTCTAGTGCTTAGACCCAATCTACTCCTGTGCATGAACAGACCAAGGTCTCCCTTCCCAGTTCTCCTGCCATTGGAGAGAGGTTGGCAGGGTCTTCCAACCCCCTACAGGTAATAACCAGGAAGGAACCCACATTGTCCCCAGTGGGCTGGACTTGACATCTGTTCACCCCAACAACTTTCATAGGAGATAAAACTTGTGCTTTCCCTATCGGACAAGGCCAGAAGGAAGGAGTCCATCTAACCAGTCCAGTGAACCTTGGCTAAATGCCAGTTGGCATATGGAGTGTAAATAAACACTGTAAAAGACACATAAATTTGCTCACTGTATGAAGAACTCCAAAATTTGCTATGAACAGCCCACAGGATGTTCAAGAGGCAGCCCATCCTACTCCTGCTCTCTACTCTGGCCCAAGGAAATCCTGGGGCTGATCCCAAGCCCTCTGCTCCAAGGAGCCTTCTCTGACTTAATCTCCCACAGAACTAGGGACACTTCTAAAACAATGTTGAAGGATGAGGGCATTTGGGCAGGTGAGGGAGTGGAACCTAGAAGATTCCTGGAAAAGAGTAACATGTTGCCCGGTCTTTAGCCTGCAGGGCAACTTCTGAGCAGGCAGGTGGGCCGGGGCAGCAGGCAGGCAGAGGAGCCTCCAGCACAGGTGGGTGGGCAGGCCAGATGCAGGTGTGCTCATGTGCTCTAGGAAGCAGGCACCCAGCTCGCTCAGGTGGGGGCACTCCGTGTTGAACTTCTGCTCCAGTGCCTTCACAAAGGCCTTATGGCACCCGTAGATGTCCTCGATGTTCCCGAAGATGGTGCGCAGCTGCTCCTCACTGAACATGTTGGTGCATTTGTGACACTGCCTGATGTAGCCCTGGGGACAGGATCCGGTGGTCAGGTCCCTCCTCAACCCCACCGCACCGCAGAGGGCCTCACCTCGCAGCTATCCCGTAGGTGCTTGATATAGTCCCACTCCCTGCTGAGGATCTCGTTGATGACTGTGTGCATCTGGTTCCTGCTGCTATTTCGAGCCTCAGCCCCACCATTGCCTGCCCTTGTCCCAGGGCTTATCCTGGTTCACCCACAGCTACAGGCAAGGCGGCCGGTCAGTGCCAAGCAAGGATTGATGCCTCTCATGCCTGTGGCTGTGTAGTAACTGGGGCTCTGAGAGCTGTTAGGGCACACAGGGACAAGCTCCCACCACCCTCAAACAATGCTCATCTGGACAGGGGGACTACAGGTCCGATGACCATTGCAGTTGTCGGTGACATCTGAGACCATGTCTCCTCCGAAGGTGCTCTGCTTACATTTGGCTTGTGCTGGACGCAGGGCTTGGAATAAAGGATTGCCCACTACAGTTTCTGAACTGTGCTTGCTCATACTGGGCTCTTTATCTGTAGAGACCAGGAGAGAAGTGGATGGTGATGTGGCCTTGTTGGCTCTCTGACCCATAACTAGGAAAGGCTTGGAGTACACCACAGACAGTTGATCTAGGGCAGTGGTCGGCAAACTGTGGCTCGTGAGCCACATGCGGCTCTTTGGTCCCTTGAGTGTGGCTCTTCCACAAAATACCACGTGCGGGCGCGCATGTACAGTGCGATTGAAACTTCGTGGCCCGTGCGCAGAAGTCGGTATTTTGTGGAAGAGCCACACTCAAGAAGCCAAAGAGCTGCATGTGGCTCGCAATCCACAGTTTGCCAACCACTGACATCTGGGCAGGGATGACAAACTGAATTCCAGGGCCTGGGATCTCCCCTCCCTACTGCCCTCTGCTGGTCTTTTGGAGTCTGCACCTGGATTCCTTCCTTAGAGACTAAAGGCCTCCTTAGGGAGAATCTGGGTCCCTCCCTGTGAACTATTGGGCTAAGGACTTAACTTGTCCATGCCTCAGGTATAAGTGAAGTTTTCAGCTTGCAGGGCTGTTGTGAAAGTTATAAGTAAGAGGATCCAGGTGAATGTCCTGCACGATGCTTGATAAATGCTTGGTAAACCCAGTTGTTTGTGGTGGTGTTCTGACATGCAGGTTCCCCCTTGGAGGGATCCACACACCTTCATTTCTGACCTATTCCTCTCTGGCTACTGAGGGCCCCCTGGAGGGAGGGGTGGGAGAAGGGGGTTGGAGTTAGTGACAGTTCTGCTGGAGGTGGACTGTTCTTCATGACCCCCACCCACCCAATCCACAGCCGTGAATGGGAAGTCCATGCCCAACACTAGAGCAGTTTCAGGCTTGAGTTTCTGAGCAGAGCCAGTTGGCTCTTTATGGGCTTTGGAGAAGCTCAGGCCAGTGCCATACCCACACGAAGCTAGCTGGAAACCAGCCCTCCCCAACAGTGACATGGCTCCACCATCACTCTCTGTTGGTGGCATTCATTACTTCAGTGGCATCCCCAGCTTTGAAGCCCAGTTCCTGGTTATCCATGGTGACATGGTCCCAGAGTGCTTCAGCACAGACCACATTGCCATTGCTAATGAGCTGTGGAGAGAACCATGACAGGCAGATCAGTGGAGTAAGGCTGCCATGGACTTCATGGTGCTCCTGCCCTCTGCACCCCACCCCTCAGCAGCCCTGGGAAGAGGAGATCCTGACTCATATCACAGAGGAGGGGATGGAGACTCCCTCGAACCAGCTACTCGTTGGGGGCCAGGGCTATGCCCTAGGCATGTCTAGACTGGCAGGGCTCATGATGAAGACTGAAGTGAACTTGACCACTAGGATCTTGGTGAGCCACAGAATCTGAAAGTCGAGCATGTCCCTGTATAGGACACACCTGCCTCCCATCTCGATTGGGCCAGTGGTTAAACTATTGTCTTGCAGCTTCATCTCTCATCTCTGCTCTGTGATAGTGGGGCTAGGACACTTCAAGCTGCATTTCTGCTGTGCCAGCTATTCCCTGTTAGGTTCTCCTAATGTGACATTGGAGGGGACCAAAAAGCTGCTCCCTCCTGCTGTGTTCTTGTGGACTTGCAGTACCTGTCAGGTCACCTACAAGCAACAATGCTGCTTCACCTAGGTATAGCGGTGCCCAGACATTGCAGCAGCTGGATCCCATTTGCAGTGTTTTTTGAACACTTGCAGAACCAGTCTCATGGCATTCCCCTCCTCGCCACCCCCACCCCCCATCAACACCAGCTGAACAGCAACCCTCCTCAGAGTTCTAGGTCCTACACCCACAGAATTTTCAGTTCTAATTGTTCCAACCTCTTTCCTTTATTCCCTGGGTCTAGGAAAGATAGGTACATATTGCTCCCTCTGCAGTAGATACTTCAAGAGTGTTCTTGTGCAATTGGTTAAAGAGTCAGACACTTTATATATGGCTAACACTCTGTGTATTAATTTCCATCTGCTGCAATAATTGGTGTGAATCTATCTTCCTGCATGGTCATTGAACTCACATCAGGAGGTCCAGACGGTGTGCATGGACCTCCCCTAGAAATGCAGGCAACCCTTGTGCTCCCAGCTCCATTTGCCATTGAGCTGACACCTGTTTTCCTGGAATGTGGGTCCAGTTTCTGCTCCTTGAATAATGAATGTCTCTGGGGACTTAGGGCAAGAGGAGGTATGTTCTAAGGATTGCATGGGAGGTGAGGTCCATGCCCCTCTGTGTTGGGACCAAGTGTGGCTCTGGTTTTCACAGTCATGGGCTGGCTCTTTGGCTAAGAAGTTGAGACCTTGCCCTGGCCAGTTGGCTCAGTTGGTTGGAGCATCATCCCATACTCCAAAAGGTTGCAGGTTCAATTCTCAGAGCACTACCTAGGTTGCAGGTTCAGTCCCAGTCAGGGCAACAAGAGGCAACTGATCCATGTTTCTCACATCAATATTTCTCTTTCTCTCTCCCTCACTTCTCTCCCCTCCCCTTCCCTCCTGTTCCCTCCCCTCCCCTCCTCTCCTCGGCTTTCCTCTCTCTCTAAAATAAATGAACATATCCTCAGTTGAGGATTAAAAAAAAAAAAAATCAAGGCTTTGGGAGTCACCATACATGCCCTGTGAACTCAGGTGCCTTCTCTACCCTTCATGGGGTTTAGTTCCCCCTTGGCTTCAGGCCCACTGGGGCCTTCCCTGGGTGCTCCCAGGCAGTGTGCATGCTCATCCTCACATAGAAATGGGAGCTACACATGTCCGAGCAGGAATGTGTAGGTCTTCACCTGAGTCCAGTTGCTGTCTAACAAGTGTTTACTATGCCCCAAATGGGTAGGGTGAGGGGTGGGCAGGCCACCTAGGCATGGGAGGCCACTCAGATTGGGCCTTTACTCCAAATAGGGCCTGAGCAAGCCCATTCAGAAACCACCAGTTCTTCATGATTTCTGAGAGTAAAACCTGCTCCAAACTCTGATGAAACCACTCCTGAGAATAATTCAGAGACTATGTGTACACCTGCTCTCACATGCAGCAGCCTCTCATGGGTGGCAGAGTCCTGAGGCCCACCCGGGGACCCAGGGCACAGAGCATTGGACTATTCCTGGGAGGCTGCAAGTCTCCTTAAAGGACCATTGCACTTACCCAGCTAAAAATACTTACTATAGGCCCTTCTGCAGAGATGCCTGGCCCCAGGATCAAGAGCTCCTGACTGCAGTAGAGACAGGGTAAGATAAGAGGATTCAGCGAGGCCACATGAGAAGAGCCAGCCTGCTGCATGTAGGGTGCAGGCACTTGATGGGGCAACTTGCAGTGCACAATGTACTCAAGCAGGCCACCACATCAGGCCTGGGGGTCTGGCCTGAGGACAAAAAAGAAGCAGAGTACTCAAAGGTGGTCTTTAAGAGCCAATGAGAATGCAGGCTGCAGGTTAATGTCCCCATTCAGGGGCAGTGACCATGGGTTAGTATGAGCATCAGAACAGAGGGTATGTGTGACCACAAGTGACTTAAGCATCAGGACTGAGGGTCCATGTGACTATGGATGAGTAATATCAGAATAGAGGGCATGTTTGACCACTAGTGAGTTGAGCAATAGCACAGAGGGCACAGATGAGCGTGAGCATCAGGACAGAGGGCGTGTGACCACTAGTAAGCATGAGCATTACAACAGAGCCTGTGTGACCATAGGCACATATGTGCATTATGAAGATTTGTATGTTTTGAGTGATGAGTTACCGAGACAATGGAACTTCTTGGATAAACTGAGGTTTGGATCCAGCAGGTAACGGAACTTTTTGCTTAAGCTTTGTAGTTTTGATCCTGGAGAAGTGGGTGCTCTAAGACTCCCTCTTGCTGCACAGCCCCTGGAATCCACCTACCAGCACATATTCACATGCTCACTATTAGATGCTACACTTTCATCTTCTGAGAAGAGGTTGTAGATTCTTTCTATCCTCAGTTCGCAACAACTGCACATATAAGTCTCCAGGACAGCATTCAGGCTGCCCTCACTGCTGGAGCCCAGGCATGAGGAAGTAATGCTGACACACCCAACACAGCCCAGCTACACAGTTTCCCTTCCTAGGTTGTTTCTGCCTGATATTAACCAGATCAGGCATCTGCCCCTGCCCCAGCTTCCTTCAAGTGAGCCCTGAGCTAAAGCCCCTCTTATATGGCCCAGTGCCTTCTCCCCTGTTTTATTTTTGCCAGCCCTTACAGAGAGGCACAATTCTGCACAGGTGGTTTCCTACATAGCTGTGGGAAAGGGCACAGGTATAGCAGACACACAGGGCTTCTGAGAGAGACCAGGATGCCTATACACTTTTTTAGACATGCCCCTATACCTGTACTTCCCAATCACCTGAAAGCCCTTGATGGTGGTGGTGGTAGAGGGGTTGGTCGCCTTTGTCACTTCCTTGTTCCAGCACCTTGCCAGCACAAGAGGCATCTGGTAGACACTCAGCCTGAAGCAACTCCCTTGATGTCCCTGTGCCTCAGTCCCCATGGATGCCTACAGTAAAAATGTGCTCCACATGGGTCACAAAGCTCTTGTGTATATCCACAATGGGAGGCATTCTGTTGAATTATAGCAATGGCATTAACTGTGTATGTGATGTCACCAAGACAATGTAGTTCTGCCTGCTCTGAGAAGCATTCTACCTTCAGGAGAGCCCAGAGGCTACCTGGGCCTAAGCAGGGTGGGGTTCTGGGAAGAGGCCCTTCCTGGCCACTCTAAAAGGTGCAGCTGCACGGAAGCCAAGACGACCCCGGCAGGCTGAGGGGGAGGATTAGGCTTACTCTTGGGCTGGCAGTGGGTAGAAGCTGGCTCTGAGGTATAGGATGTTTATGTGTGGCAGGTAGGGGACTGTCCTAGTGGAAGAACAAGTTCAAGACTGAGACAAGGAGCGACAAGGGGCAGGATCTCCTCCTGTGCCCCTGAGATTTTGATAGGCCTAGGGAAAGCAGGCTCTGCCTCAAAGTGCCCCCTGATGACCACCCACCATCCTTCCCACCCTGCCCCATCTCCTCCTCTCACATGTGCAGGCTGAGGTAGGATTGTAATGGACAATCTAGGAATGCAATTTGGCAGGCCTTTGAGCAGCCAGGGCTGAGGGCTGTTCAGAGTGCCACCTACAAGGGGTGGGGGCTCTGCCTGTAGTGGGTTGGGGCACGCTGAGACCACTTAAGACTGAAAATGGGAAAAGCTGGTAACATGTGAAGAGCCCACGCATCTTCCACAGACATCTCTTAAACCTACACAGAAATGCATGTCCAGTTCTGCTCATACTTTAGTCACATAAGCAGTTTTCAGACAACCACAGCAGCCAAGGCCACAGCTACATACGGATCTCCAGTCACCCACAGAGATGAGCATTTTAGTCATACACACACACACACACACACACACACACACACACACTACAGATGTCAGACGGAAGGACCCATGGCACATGTGTCACCAAACTCCAGGCAGGCAGGGGCACCCTCCACAAGCGTCATCTGTTTGGGGCTTGCTGGGTCATAGCTTTACCACCTCGGGTCACTGCATTGGGAGTGGGCCTATACAGCTAGATGGAGCTAGGGGAGATGCGGGGCGCGGAGGGTGGGCAATGGAGGAGCCACTCACCAAGAGAAGCCCGGGGCGCCTGGCCTTGGCGGTCAGCAGAAGGCCAGCAGGAACACCAGCACGACGTTTATGAGGACGAGGAGCGCCAGCACGGCGAAGACCACCACACGTTGAGCGCCTGGTGGCAAGTTGCAGCACAGCACAGCACGCAGGGCGCTTCCTGGGGCCGCGGGGCGGTGCCGGGTCTGGGACACCCTGGCCATAGCGCCAACTCTCCGACTCTCCGTTGAGCGCCTGCCCAGAGAACCCCAGGAGCGCGGGGACCGCGGGGGCGGAGCCGCGGTGCCTCAGACCGGCTTCTGCGCAGCCGGCGTGTGCGCGCCAGGGCGCCCAGCCCCGACAGAACCCAGCACCGAGGCGGAGTGGGCTGTCAGGGTCACGCGGACTCCGGCGAGTGCAGATACTTGACCTTGGCGATTCGGTGGGATGGCTCAGGGAATCCAGACTGCCAAGCGCAGGAATGGTGGCTGTGGTGACTTGGGCTGTGGGGA